TCTATTGAAAAACTTCTATGGTTTTTATCTCTTTGATAACTACTCATAAAGATGATATGAATATTTTTGTGCAGGTTTTTTAAGCACACATTATTTTCAAGACATTTGGGTAAAAATCAGAATGTGCAATTGCTGGATAACATGGTAAGAGCATGTTCACTTGTATAAAATACTGCCAGAGTATCCCTTTATCAAATAGTGCTAAATTACTGGAACATTCCTACTAGCAATAAATCAAGGATACTCATGCTATACAGTATCAGGCCTACTTTACACTGATTATTTTGGAGATAGAGTCTCATGGTCTTTTCTGCCTAAGCCAGCTTTGAGCTATGATCCTCCAGATTACCACCTCCTAGCTCCAACATATGATCTTATCAGTGGTTTGAACTTTATTCTAATTACTATGTCCAGATAACTCATTGTTTAATTTGAAATTCTCTTATGATATGTGGTATTAAAAATCTATTCATGTTCTTATTTATAGGGAACTAGTATGATTTTTCCCTAAATATTACAATTTACCACAAGCTTTTTTAAAATTTTAATTAATTTTAATTTTAATTTCAGGCATTTTTCTATTAAGGTTTTAATTTTTCTCATTCATGCAAATCTATAAGAGGCTCAAGCTCTAATTTTTCCAAGTGCCTTTGAAACAGTTGATTCACTTTATTTAGTTGCCAAATTTTTGTACATAGAGTTAACAATTTTCTTTAATATACTTTTTAAAATTCCATGTTTTGCTGGGTTACATTAATTATATAGGGAAGGGTTTCATTATTACAACTTCACACATGTGCATACTGTATTCCAATCAATATTACCAACTCTATCACTTTCCCTGCCTCCTTCCTCCAAATAAAATCCCCAACAGGTTTCATTACTTCATTTTTATAGTTCCAATCAATCATTTCATCAGCATTCAGACTCTTTCATCCTCTTACCCACCAGATGTCTCTTGCTAGTACTCACTCACCATACCTACACATCAGAGGGTATTTCTTTCTCCCCAACCCATACAGATTTATTGTTGTCCTCATGTATATTTGTAATATATTAGTTATTGGCTATCTTTGTTTCCTTTGTCTCTTCCCTTTCTCCTCCCCTAAGCAGTCCCTTAATTTGATTCATATTCTAGGTTTAACTTCCCAAATTTTATGTCTTTTAGTTCTAGGTTCCACATATGAGTGAAAACATAGGACTGTTTTTAGAACTAGTCTTGCTCAGTATGATGTTCTCTAGTTGTTTTCCTGAAACTGGCACAATTTTCATTATGCCTATGTAATATTCATATATACACATATATGTACACACATACTGTACATTTTTTATCTCTTCATTTATTATTAGCATCTAGGTTGCTTCCATAGTTTTTTTTTCTTTTTTGACAGTTGTGGGGCTTGAACTCAGGGCCTGGGCACTATCCCTGAGCCTCTTTGTGCTCAAGGCTAGTGCTCTACCACTTGAGCTACTGTTCCACTTCTGACTTTGAGTGGTTAATTGGAAATAAGAATCTCGCAGGGACTTGTCTACTCAGGCTGGCTTCGAACTATGGTTCTCAGATCTCAGCCTCCTGAGTAGCTAGGATTACAGGTATATGTCACTGGTACCTGGCTTCCGAAGTTTTTCTATTATGAATAGTGAGTGCTGCAATAAACATGGATATGAAAATGTGTTTCTTTTAAATATATGCCCAATTTTTGTTTCTTTCATGCATGTGTTTCTAACGCATTTATAATATTATTTCTTTGTTGCTTTGTATGTCCCTCCCCCACAGTGTAACCCCCGCTTTCACTATATTTGATGTCAGTATAACATGTGGAGGAGACGGAGACAAACAAGTCATTTAAGGATTCAGGTGGACCTGTTGCAACAATGAGAAGTACAAAATGTCATGTCAAAACCAGCTTTACAATGTCGGTGGGGGGGGGGAGGGGGAGTATGATTGGGTGGGGGGGAGGGGGGAGGCTGGGAAGGGAGGTGAAGGGTAAACAAAGGAGGAGGCTGCAATGCTTGGTAAGAAATGTATGCATTATCCTGCCCATGTAATTGTAACCCCTCTGTACAGTATGTTCTCAAATAAAATAAAATAAAATTAAAAAAAAAAAAACAAATAAAAAAAAAAATATATGCCCAAGAGTGGTATGGTATGGCTCATTCATAAGGAAGGTCTTTAGCCTTATGGACCTTCTATATACGTTTCCACAGAGTCTACCCTAGTTTGTATTTCCACCAATAGTTTATAAAGGTTTATAATTTGGATGCAAATGGTTATTCTTCACCTATATATAGCCCAAATGGCCTAGAATTTTTTCAGTATCAAACATGTTTGCTACATGCCATCTACCTTTTAATCAAAATGGCATATATTTTTATTTATTCACCCCCTCCACAAATTTAGCTCTCAAAATTTCCCAAATTTCCCTTAATATGACATAGTTAGAATGCCTTTTACTTGAAATAGGATTATGTTCCTGTTCGAGGTGAAACATAACAGTGGCTTCTGTGCATCTCACCCAGATGGAATATTGTCTTTGTTTGAATCCAGAAACTTCAGGATACACTGTGAATAGCACAGCTGAATTGTGTGCTAGAGCATTGAGATATAGGCTATGGCACCATCTCTTTTTACCTGTTATGGGCTAAATTGTATACTCATTGCCCCCAAATTCTTATGTTTATGTTCTTATGTTCACACAGTCACAATCTGATTGTATTTGGATGCAGATGTTGAAAAAGGTGATTGAATAAGTGAAGCTGATAGGGTATGCCATAATGTCTGACTGATTTGTCCTTCTATGAAAATGTAAGGACCCTCCAAAGATGTACACATACAGAGTGCTCCTTGTAAGGAGGCAGCAAGATTGAGACTTCTTGAAAACCCCTGAGAGGTCTCAGTGAAACAATCATGGTAGGATTTTAATCTTGTGTTTGTAGTTTACAGAACTGTGAGAAAATGCAGAAATATATTTCTTCTTTTGAACTACTCACACATTATTGTGTGTGTGTGTGTGTGTGTGTGTGTGTGTGTGTGTGCATGCGTGCTGGTCTTGGGGCTTGAACTTAGGACCTGGGCATTGTCCTGGAGCTATATTATACAAGGTTACTGCTCTACCACTTGAGCCACAATGCCACTTCTAGCTTCTTCTTAGTAGTTATTTGAGAAAAGAGTCTCATGGACTTTCCTGCCCAGATTGAACTCAAACTGCAATTCTCAGATCTCGACCTCCCAAGTAGCTAGGATTATAGGTGTGAACCACCAGCACCCAGCCTCATACTTTTTTTAAAGGTTGCACAGATAAATTAATAATAATAATAATAATAGTGTGTTTTATATACAGATTTTTCTGAATTATGTGTGATCTAAACAATTTGTAAGAGAATACTTCATGTCCTGTTTATATCAGTAGAGGGGAAGGAATTTCAATAGTATATTTCCAAGATATCCAAATATACAATAGAAGACACTGTGCAGATTAGATCAACACCAGTTAACTATTCACATATACATCTATTTTCACAGCTGGGCAAGAAGGACAATATGAAGTGGATTCTTAGAAACAGAGCAATAAATAAACAGGTTCTCTGGGAGAGGTTTGTTTATCAAAAGGCAGTAACCTCTTATTCCTGGGAGATATGATATTCTTGCTTCAATAGTGCAGACATAGAGAGAGAAGGAAAGCCTGAGAATTAGGAATAAACAAGATCTAGGTCTCACCCTATTGATCCAGATGGGTAAAGGAGAAGGGAATCTGATCTTCAAGTAGAGTCTAGAGAGGAGCATATAGTTGTGACATGTCTTTGTGCCTGGCCTTTCCTCCCATTCCCACAGCCTCATATAGCCAACCTGGAGTTTCAAGTATAAAATTACATCACATTGATTGGCAGGAAGCTTCCAAAAATTCATAATGCTTTGATGAAAGTAAATTTCCTTCTATCCAAAAGTTCTACTTCCCTTCAATTAGTATAAGGTATTTTAATTAATTCTTGAAATGACTACATTGACCAGATTCTAAAATTCTTTAAGGTAGATAGATCTTGGTCTGAGTATCTCTAGTACTAGCACAGAGCCTTCTAATGAGCAAGTCCTCAAATGGTGTTTGAGCAAAAGGAAGAATTTCTCCTACTTTAATTGCCTTTGTCTTCTTAATGTGACTAAAGATTAGTAATCCTATGAAAAATAATTATTTTAAATTTATCATATCAATGTTTTAATTTTATTGATTTCTGCTATAGCATATATTGCCTTTTCTCTTTATACTCTGAATTTAATTTCCTATTTGTTTATATTTCCATAAGGTGGGAAGAAGTTTAAATTATTAATTGTTTCTTTTTTATTGTAAAAATACCGTATTGAGGGGTTACAATTACATGGGCAAGATAATGAGTACATTTCTTATCAAGCATTGTTGCCTCCTCCTTTGTTACCCTTTCCCATCCCTTCCAATCGCCCCCACACCCCACACACACCCCTCCACCAAAGTTGTAAAGTTCGTTTTTGACATTACGACTTGCACATCTCTTCTAATAGAGGCATCCAGTGATATGAATTTACTGCAAATACTGCAAAAACAAAATAATTTGTTTTCCTTAGTTCAAAATTTGTGTGTGTGCATGTACACATGTGTATATTCATCTCAGACCTTTCTTTTTCATACTAGTTTTCTACCAATATAGTCATACCTCCAACCCAGCATTTTTTTCTAGTTATTTGGAGATGGAATCTCCCAGGTTATAATGCCTTGGCTGTGCTAGATCTGAAATCTTCCAGGTATCACCTCCTGAGTAGCTTGGAGAGCAGATGTGAGCCATCATCTTCCAGCTTTTCTTTATAAAATTTTAATTTCTCCTACTTTCTTGACAATCTAAGCATACAATTGTACATGAATGAAATGAAATGAGCAAAGCTATACAGATAATGCTTAATTGTATTTTATTCTCCATCCCAATTATTTCATGTGGAATGGTTTTGAATTTCTATGTATACCTCCATTGTAATATTAGATGGAGGGATAAAGGGGAGAAGCTGCAGCTCCTGGTAAAGGCAGGAGCATGGCCATTTCATTAGGGCCAGGAATGGCTACCATTTCACTATTGGCATCCTCTTCATCCCTCCTAGCTTTTCCATATGTAGTTGTGGATTTGTTTGGAGCAATCACATTATCATTTGCTAAAAAATCTAGCACTTCCTTTTTCGTGGTTTCTTTCAAAGCTCTGCGTCCCCAGAGAAATTCATATTGAGGGGGATTACTATTTGGCACTTGTTGGTATTTCAAATAATTCAGTCTCACCAGATCTTTGGTAATAAGATGCTTGGGTTCTCCGTAGATGTAGTGTTTTTTACCAGGATATAATGCCTTTGTTTTTAGGAATTTCCATAGATTTTCTTCAGAAATGCTGTTACCCTTCAGGATAATAACACCTAGAATAGTCATAACTAACCCAGTTTTGGGTAAGCCCATACCTGAATGGATTCTCCCATTGTTCGGTAGCTTTAGTTTACTAACCAGTGCATACTTGTGACTAGTTGTGTCTGTTTCTTTGATGACAACTGCAAAGGCACTCTCAATGTTTTCATTGGCTCTCATGAGAATCTCAGTAAACTTGTCTTCATTCGAACAAGAGATAATTGTTAGCATATCTTTCTTGTACATAGGCTTCCTTTTTTCATACCTGTAAAGCAAGAACCCTGCCAATGTAATGGCCTTCTTAGCCACAAAATCAATGCAGGATATCTCAGCTGAATGCTTAATCTCAGAAGTTGTCTTTTCTTCTTCTTCTTCTTCGCTCCTTTTGCCCTCATTCAATCTTGTATTAACAGCATCATTATAAGTAGTGGTAGGTAATTGAGTAGTACATGGCTCCTGGAGAATGTCAATTAATTCAAGAGTAGAAGGAGTTTTTATAGCATTATACAGAACAACTTGAGGATTATACATAGGTGATGTAAGCGCAAGCCTTGCCAGGGAGATTTGGGCAGCTTTGAAATGTTTCCCACACCTTAGCATCTTAATTTACTTCTTCCAAGGTAAGATGGTTTCAGGAGGGAGAGAATGCCTGATGTTGGCCCAGTAGAAGAGAGATGATGTGTGGGGGCAGGCGTGTACACATTCACTGGTCAATTTCTACCATAACTATGTGGTCCTCCAAGAAGGATCTCGATGCAATGTAAGAGCTTTCTGTAGTCTTGACTGCCAGATACTTTGGGAAACCTGGGGAGGAAGATAGAGTAAGTGTGAGCCTGCTAGCCTGCCTCCTGCATAAACTAGTGACAGGTTATTGTTTTGATATCTGCCCAGCCTAAACTACCCACACTTTCTTGTCATGAGTTCTCTGCCTTCATGGTAATGGCCCCCAAACCCTGAAATCCCTCAGCTGGAAAAGAAAATCTCATCTGCTAGAGGGGTAGTTACCTTAGTGCTCAAAGTATTCACTGTCCTCCCAATTATCCCGCAAGTCTTCCAACTACTGTCTGCTTAAGGCTTCAAGCAAGGCCTCCACCTCTAACCGACATCCTAGAAATTATTACATCACAAGATCTTAGCAACAGTGAGGTATCCAAGGGCTGCTAGCAAGGGTGGGGCTTTGTGTGCTCCTCTGAGTTCTAAGACTGGAATTTTAATTGTTAAGTCCTAACTTATCACTCTACTTTAATCCTTGATAATGACTGAGACAAATAAATGTGTTTCTTTTGTGTAGCCAGGGAAATGAGGCTAACTTGAGGGTATTTCTAAGAAGTGAGAATAACAATGAGCATATACCTGAAAATCTTAAAGCACTTAGTGCTAAATAATCAATTTAGGAAAATATTAATGTGACTTCTCTAAAGGACACTTCAAGTATTGGTACCCACTACCCATAGCTGCCTTTTTTTCATTTTTAATGTTTCTTCTTGATACACTCTAGTTTTTTTGGGGGGGGGGTGCTTTAGGCATAATTATAATCTCCAAATCCAAAGATCTGTGGTCAAATTCCATCCATAATTTAATATGTTCCTTACAGGGAACACATAGGTACGGGATGATAGCTAACAGGGTGGTTCAAAGGTACGGGGTTGATAGCTTCCCAGGGAGGGCCAAGGGCACTCAAATCACCTACTCTCTCAGAAGTTTCAGAATGTCCCATTCCATCCCTGCAGTCCTACCCATACAACCCTGTCCCTTAATACATTCATCAAGATTAGTGCTGGTTTTGTTTGAACTAATATTTCTGTATGAAATTTAAGGAGAAATGAGGAGAACAGAAAAGGGTTGTATCCAAGAGGTACCTTTTTCACTTGTTAAAAAATAAATCATGCCCCTGTTATTCCAAGTAGTTAAAGGGGCAAAAATGGGATAGGGGAAGCTGTTTGAAAGAAACAGGTATACTCTTGAAATATGATCCATCTTGAGCTCCATTCTTTCAGTGAATACTTGCTGTTGAGAAGATGCTAGGAGTCATCTAGCATCTCTAAAAGACAAGGGTTTGATTGCTTAGGGACATATGGAAAAGTGTAAGTATAAAGGAAAGAATCTCTAATCCTATAACTGAAAATGCTTCTAGAAAACCTATTTTCTGAACTTCACAGAACTTTTCTGGGTGTTCAATAGTATTTTTTTGTTTTATATGTAGAAATAGTTTTTTACACAGTCAAAGGAAGCTTGAAGCACAGTTGAAGAGTTTTATATGCATAAACATATTTCATTCAGGCTTTGAAAATTACATATAAGCTTTGAATCAAGCTGAGAGTTAAAAAACTAGTAAATGCATCAATGGAATAACATTTAAAAAATTTTAAAACCTTGGTTACTCATCTAGAATACAAGCTCAAATACATACACCAAATTGCATCCAGTTCCATGTTGTACTTCTGAAACATTTACTGCATTTTTTAGTGAATGAGTGGAGACTTTCTGTCACCTTTACTTGACATGAAGGAAACTAGATGTGAATCATGAAAATGTGCTAAGCTGCCTTGTAAAACCTGGCCTCTTCTAGTCCTTAGTCCTTCTGTTCCTTATTTCTTAAAATCTGTTAATTGTAGTCTATAAATACATTGGGGTTCTTGTCATTTCCTTTTTATAAAATTCATTGGCCTTTTATCATTCTGGTTTCAGCAAGATCTCTTCGACCTTTCAAGCATTCATAGTGTGAATGATCTTTTGAGGTTACCTGACAGTACTCCAGGCATTTTATTGTTCTATCTGGTTGAGTCCCAAGAGTAAACCGTAAATTTACGCAGGAAATATCAAAGCTCTTCTGTGACAGAAATGCCCTTAATGAAGACCATCTCCAATTCTAGTAAAATGGGAAAGGAAAAAGTAAACATAAAGAAGAAACAGCTGAGAAAATGCATATATAACTGTCATTGAAAACTTGCTTCAGTGGTAAAAATAAGAAAAGCTTCCTAACTTTCTTCTGAGTCTCTTTCTAGTCATTGGAGCCATGACAGAAAAGGAATTTGAATTTTGTATGTAGAAAATTAAGGCTTCTTGCCTACTTCTTTTATGAGTTCCCACAATATTAAAAGAATAGTGCTAGAGGAATATCAATACCAAATTTCAAACTCTACCACAAAGCCATAGTAATCAAAACAGCTTGGTACTGGCACAAGAACAGACCTGAAGACCAGTGGAATAAAATTGAAAACCCAGAAATGAACCCACAGGCCTATCGCCACCTAAGCTTTGATAAGGGAGCTAAAAATAGAATGGAAGAAAGCCTCTTCAGTAAATGGTGCTGGCAAAACTGGTTAATCACCTGTAGAAAACTAAAGCTAGATCCTTATATATCACCCTGCACCAGAATCAACTCCAAATGGATCAAAGACCTCGAAGTCAAAGCAGACACCCTGAAAACATTACAGGAAGAAACAGGAAAAACCCTAAGTCTCCTAGGCACAGGCCAAAATGTTCTCAATAGAGACCCAGCAACACAACAAATCAAAGAAAGGTTGGACAAATGGGATTTTTTTTTAACTTTTGTAGTTGAATTGTGATGGAGAAAAGAGAGGAAGTATTTTAATCAATCCTATGAAGTATCTTTAATTATGAAACTGAGAATTCATGTGGAAGCATTTTTACTTTTAATTTTTAAATACAGGGGACTTCTAATCTGAACAGATTTTAAATGTCCAAACAGTTTTGTACTCGGGGCCCTTTCTCTGACTCCTGGTAAGAGCTAATGTTTTTCTGAGCTGAGTCAGCCTGCATAAAGCTAAAGTCCTCACTAACTCCACTCCCCAGAGGCAGAAGTCAGAGTAAAACACTCTGGCTATAGTTTCTGAGAGTCAACAGCAGTGTTCTAAAGAAGTGACTGATTTAGTCTTACTCAGAAACTGAGACTTTCCCTAGTAACTTGAATCCGTCAGGGTTAAATTGAGTGAATGAATGTTTGCAGCATCCCAGGACTGATAGGGCCAGAACTTGGTGTGTTGCTATCTTTTGGGTTAGATGCCCTCCTTATTCCTAATTTAGGTCCTCATCCTGAATATGCCTATGGCCAAAAGATCTATTTCTTCCTATGACAGGCTTTAATTCCTGAGACCACCTACGGGGATGATACAGTTCCCTCATCTGGACACATCTGTCTAATGTCAGGCCTGGCTGACAGGAGGGTAAGGATTCTCTGATGTCTAGGATTTGAATGGCTCCTTCAGTCCTCAGGGTCCTTACTTGGATGCTTCACCTAATATGTACTTCTTCCTTGTGTTCATGAGAAGCTAGTCCTTCAAGAAAAAAAAATCCAGTCAGAAGTTTTGTATGCTGTTTATTTAAAGTTATTTTTTAGCACAGGAGATAGTAGGGAATATCCACAGAAATGTGAGAAAACAAACCTTCTTTCATACATGAACTAAATAAATACAGGGGTGTTTTATTTATTCTAAAATATATACAACAAAGAAAAGGGCAAGATAAAAATTAAACATTTGTGACCTTTATTTTTTTGCTTTTTTTCTCCTCTGCATTATGTTCCAACAACTTTACTTTGAGGCTGTTTCCCATTACCATTATACTATTATTTGTTATCTGGTTTTAGATCATAAAGAAAATATAGATTTTGAATTTGTATATACAAATGCCAATACTACCTTTCAAACTGACTTAAAAAGCAGTGAATGTGAGAACAAACTAACTGACAAGAACACATTCTGAAATAACAATCATCTTCAATTAAAACTGAAGCCTTGAAAAATAACAAAAGCAAGTACAAGGATGTTTCAACAATGTTACTGGAAAGGAACACTTATTTTTTTTCCCTTGATCCCATATCTTCACTACTACTTAGGCAACTGACTTTTCTTCAAACACAGAGTGAAAACTTCTATGTCAGACTCAACAAGATGTGGAAAGAGCTTGGGATTTGTTAATACACATTTGGAATTTTTAAAAGAAACACTAAAACTTTATCTTTAAACCCCTTTTTTTTAAAAAAAAGCAAGGAAGTGAAGTTGGGTGCTGGTGGCTCACACATGTGATCCTAACTAGAGGGGCCTGAGATATGAGGATTGTGGTTTGAAGCTAGCTTGGGCAAGAAAGTCCGTGAGACTCCAATAAACTACTCAAGCCACAAGTGTCACTGTGGCTCTAGCGGTAGAGTGCTCACCTTGAGCAAAAGAAGCTCAAGAGACAGCATCCAATCCCAGAGCTCAAGCCCCAGGACAGGCAAAAAAAAATGTAATGGAGAATGCAATAATTGACAGATGATAAATATGAAGTAAAATAAATATTCAGTTAAATGATAAGCCTTGAGAAAATCAGAGCTACAATCTTAAAACAGTGTTATAACCATATTATATACTAAGAATATGGAAATTAAGCTTTGCTGCCTCCAGCCCATACTTTTCTTTACTACTTAGAAGATTCACTGATCTTCAAATGCACAATGAAAACTACCTCAGTCCCAACAAAATATGGGAAGAGCTGAGGAATGGAACATGGGAAGAGACCCTGGCCTGGGC